CCAGCCGGACTTGAACCGTTGACCTTGACTGTGGAGGGTATGGGAGCTTAACTGCTAAGCTATGGGACCCACACCCTAGATTTTCAATTTCAAAATATACAAGATACATTTTTTCAAAATAAATATAAATAAACATACTTTTTATAATATTTTAAATTATTAATTTTAATACTTTCGATATAATTTTAATAATTTTTATCAATAACAAATTATTAATTATTTATGTAAATATAAACAACAAATATTTTTTCAAATAATGTCATAAGATCAAAATGTCTTCTTATTGGGAATCCAAATTTCAATTATTCAAAATTATTTCAGAATGGAAAAAAATTACCATTTCTTTAAATCCTTCTCATAAACAAAAACATAAATTAAATAAATATAGACATGTGAAAATTAATGATAAATCATATCTTGAAGTTAAAACACAAAAAGATAATATTACATTTTTAACTGATACAAAATATTTTGAACTTTTAAAAAACTATACTTGGAGTGCATCAAAAGCTAAATATACTTATAATATCACAACTACAGATAATAATCACAAAGCTATAACTTTTCATAAATTAATTAAACCAGAATTTAAATTTATTTCTTATATAAATCAAAATTGTCTTAATAATCATGAATGTAATTTAAAAGATACTAATCATAGAGCAAGTGCTTTAAATAGTAAACTATATAAAAATAATAAAAGTGGATTTAATGGAATTTATTATTTAAAATCTAAAAAAATTTGGTGTTTTAAATGGGAAATAAAAGAAATCATATCAAGAAAACATTTTAAAACAAAACAAATGGCAATCAACTATAAATTAGAATATAATAAAACTACTAAAAACAAAATTGGTTTTTTTATCAATATTGAATAAAATATTAGTAATTTATTATCAATCTTTTTTTTATTATAATATATTTTTAATTAATATTTTAACTTTTATCTATGATTATCAATGAATCAATATTCATATAATACATGGCTGTACTTTGGAATCTTCTATCTTTTTTTTTCTTTGTGAAACATTTTAAGATATTTCTTTTTATATTATCTTCAGCTAAAAACGTATCTATTAAATAAATCTATATTTGAAAAATTTAATTTTGTTATCTAAATATCGAATAAACTTTTTTATTTGTAATAATTCCAAATCATTAAAACTTTTGTGAATATAGTACAAAACAAAATTATTATAAATTTTTTCGTTTGATATTTCAATAAACATAATTTTAACAATATGAATAAATATCAAAAAAAAATATAAAAATACTAAAGATTATTAATAAATCTTTACAATTAAAAAAAAATATTAATTGTTAAAAAAAAAAAAAATAATCAAAAATGTCTTTAATAAAAAAATATTTGAAAAAAATTAACAAAACCCAAAATCACAATATTATTTATGAAGAATATAGTAATGATAAACTTTAATATAATAATATTGAAAACAAACTATAACAAGAATATGATAATTGGGAAGATATTATTCAAGATCCAGTATCTTCAAACTGGATAAATGAAGAAATATATAATAAAAATCGATCTATCTATTTGATCAACAGTAGCAAAAAAACAGAATCTTCATTACAATTAATCGAAGAGAAGAACCAATCAACAGATTCTTATTAAAATACATTTATAGATTTAAATGAATCCATCAATCTTGAAATTATATTATTGATTTTATTAATTAGTTTATCAATTTTTTCAATTATCTTTGTTTGGATTTTTGGAATTCTTGTTTTTTGAAGAATGAAATTTATAATGCGAAAATTAAAATTAGCTAATAGTGATTATATTACAAAAATTAATCCATTTGAAATTATGTTTAGCCAAAGACAAATTAATAATATATTTTAAATAGATAATGATATTGAAAATACTATTAAAGATCTTGTTAATGGTAAAATAAAAATTAAAGATTTTTCAATTATTCAAGTTTGTATTATAAATGATATATTTTTTTCTTCTGATAATCGAAGACTTTACATATTTCAAGAAGCAATTTGTAAAGGATTAAATATTAATAAAATTCTAGTAAAAATAAGAGGAGTAACTGATATAAATATAAAATGAAAAATAGAAGGCTTATATAAAATTATTCATCATAATGATTTTAAAAATATTATTATTAGTCCATTTGCTAAAAATGGAAGAGTTATTGATAAAAAAGGTTATTGGGAATATTGAGAATAATTTTTATTTATTTATATTTATTTATTTATTATTTTTATTATATATATTTTTTATATAAATTATATTAATATTATATCAATATATTATTATTTTTTAATAATTATTATATATTTAAATAAAGGAAAACATTTAAAACTTTATTATAAAAAAAAATATATATACAACCCAAATATAAAAAAAAATTAATATACAAAAATTCTATTTATAAATAAATACAAATAAAAAATATTCTTTATATTTTACAAATATTTTCAGAGCTTTTAATTCTAATTATTGAAAAAAAAATATTTTTTCTATTAAAATTGCAATATGCAACACGGAAAATGATAATATCATTTAACACTAAATGTTCTACCTAATATGATATTCTCAATTGTTCATTTTACCATTTCTATAAAGATTAATAAATAAATATTTCTGGCCAGTGTCATATTAAAAAACAATAATAAATAAAATTTAATAACATCCAAGTAAATAATGCTAACATCTATTTAAATTGTTTTAAATAATATATTTTCAAGACAAATGCTTGAATATCGATTTGTAATGCTTAAAATTCTTCTGGAAATGTGTTTGATAATATGAAAACTAACAAAACACAAATAACAAGAATTGTGTAAAAAATTTTTAAAAACATTGTTTTTTTGTTATAAATTTTTGTTTGAAAATTGTATAGATGAATAAATTTTTGTCTTTGATATTTTGAAAATTTTTGGTATTTTCAATTAATGATTTGAAATAATATAAAAAATTTATACTTAAATATCTTTGTGAATAAAGCTTAAAACATTTTTTTTCTTAAACTTTCTGCAAGATATTTTTTCATTTGGAGTTTTTAGATACAAAAACAAACTTTTGATGCAATATCATTTCTTTGGAAACATTATTGTAAATAAAAGAATACAAAAATATTTTTCTTTTGTCATTCAATCAAAACAAAAAAAAAATTCAATCTTGTACTATCAATAAAATTTAAATATAGTATATCGAAAAAAAAGCTTATAATAAAATCAATAAACCCTTATTTGTTAAGATCTTATCAAATCTTTTCTTATAAAATATGCCTATCTTTGTTACATACAAAATTAAATGCATTATCATGCAGATACAAAAACCAATAATTTTTAATTAATATTAATTACTATATTTAGTATTTTCATACTAAAATCTTTATCAAATACAAAAATTTTTCACATTACACAACGCCAAATCCCCAAATTCTTTAAATAATTTTTTTTTATGAAAAAATAATACTATTATTAATTTTAATTATTAATATTAATAATCCTAATTTTTAATAAAATGCATGCAATAAATTTTGGTAATATCATCTTATCGATAAAAAGCTTGATAATTATCTATTTATCAAAATGTCTTATGTTAAATCTTTAAAAAAATTTCAAACTGAAAATTTTGTTAACAGATGTATCTTTCATGATACTAAAAACAACATTACATTCATAATTGAAAAATATTATATAATCTGTCATAGAATTGTATTTTTTAAAAATAATGAATTAATCTCTCTACCTGAAGGATATGAAATTCATTATGAAAATGATAATACTACAACTGAAATTAATTCTGCACCAATGACTGAAAATGGAATTACTTTTCTTCTTATTAGCAACAATTTGTACCACTATGCAATCTATTACAAAGATACTCCAGTTTTCAAATTTCATGAAATGAATAAATTTTTTATTACAAAACCTAAACAAATTATCGAATATTCTCATACAAATAGTATTTATAAACAAATTAATAAAATTCTTGAAAAATGTAAAATTGATAAAATATTAAAGAAAGATAATAATAATGATAATAATAATGAATTTACTATAGAGATTTTTTTAAAATGAAGTAATTTATGTATTCTTAATGATAATATAAAATATAAAAAACATAGAACTATTTAATTTTTTTATTAAATATATTTATTTATTTTATTGTATAACTTATTAATATATTTTATCTATAATAAATTATTTTTCATTAAATTTATCATTGAATTGTTTTAAAAAGTTGATATGATTAACTATTTTTTTAACAAGATTATCTGTTCTACAAGTAATAATTTTAAGATTATTTACTTCTTTTACTGCATTACCTGAATAATCTTGATTACTAACGATAACCCCAACATGATCTTTGTATTTATCATTACTTAAAGTAGATGATAACATATCTATATTATAATAACACACTTTTTTTTTTTGTCTAAATTTACAATGGATTAAAATTTTATATTGTTCAAAAAGAACATCAAGATCTTTGTCTTTATCAGATAAAATCAAGTTCTTATCATAT